TTTCTTCACGTAAATACTAGCATGATAATTTTTCATGAAAGAAACTTCCAAGTTTGAAGTTTTTCGCTCTTCACATCCCATACCCTCAAAATTGCCTCATAATTAACGTATTTTTCGGTAATAATCGCATTTAGCAGCCGTATGGTTTCAGTGGTGATCGCTGATCTTGCGTTCAGTTTCAATTTTTGCTGCCGCCTTAATGTGGGTAAATTTTATGGGTTTTAAGGAACACGATCTCAAGTTCGCGTAAATCTGGTTTTCTTCGTTTTCTGTCCAGAGAGTAGACGGCGAGGGTTAAACGTGCTCTATGGCTACGCTGTGAACGATAACATTGAATAGGAGGTATGTTTTATTGCTATATTATCATGCCATATTAAGTATAACTATAATATTATTAAATATTGTTACGGCATTGTAATGTGAATCACTGAAATTACAGTTTCAATCTATATGGATTACTATTATTATATACAGATTCATTGCTCAAATAGTATTTTACATCAATCGCCTGTGAACTGACACGTGGCGTTGAGAAACCACAACAAGAAAATGAAAAAGTTGTAAAGCACGATCTAGGTAAGGATCGGAGTGACAGTCAAGCATTGCAGCATGTTGAAGAGATAGTCTCAGTTCTGTCGTATCTCAAGATTAATTGTTTTTTTCCTAAGATAAATTTTATAGATTAAATTTGTCGATTTAAAAGATGACCTGGTTGGCCAGAGCTATGGGGGTTGTTTCACGCACTTATTCCGCATTACGTTAACTATCATAATAATACTCTATTGCAACGCAGGAAAAACGTTTCTTTGAATCATCATATGATACTGACGGGGACAGCAGACTGGAAACGTCTTCCGCAATCAATCAGATACTCTCCCCTGATATAATGCAAATTGTTATGATTAGTTGCGGTTAGCGTGAATTTATGTTGTTTCTTAAATGCTTAAAAATTTCTTTTGAAAAACTTAACTATGTAGTTAATTTAAGAATTAGTGTATGACGTTAAACAAGACTTTCTCTGTAGTTGCCGCCAAAAGTCGTTTAATGTTTTGGGTCATGTAGCTAATGATTTGTTCACTGCAAAGGCAGCATTTTATGCCAATTAACTTCAATAACCCAGTTTCGTATTCTGGAGACAGCAGTTTCTTTCGCTGAAAACTGGCAATCATTCTTGATTCCATCCCAGCAGTAAAATATCCATTCATTCATCATTTATTTCTCTCTTTATGGGCTCAGTTGTGTTCTGATCATATAAAGCAATAAATGAATCATAATTTTAAACGTCTACATTGCTGCAGAACACGTGATATATGTCGCACAGAACAAGAACAATTTATACATGAACCGTGGGTATCACATTATGAATTACTTAACATGAAGCGAATTTGACTTTGCGGCACACTCTTCTCTCGTTCATTCAGCTGACCATCGACCTGTCCTGCAGATGCCAGGGCTTCTCCACCATTTGTCCACATCAGGGTAATATTTGGACTTGGGCTCGTTCAGTAAGGCACAGACTCGACACCAAAACCTAGTGTTTATGAACTCTCCCTTAGACTTCCATTGAAAGTAAGAATTGTACAGAGTGTCATTTTTGTCCAGTTTCAGAAGATATTCAGCCAACTGTCGCGGACTGGCAAAATCTTCGACGTGAACAAATGAATGTGGTGGTGCGATTCGTTCGTAGTCTTCCTTTGGAGCTCCCATTACAACCGGAACTATGTCATTTCTGAAAGATAGTTATGTAAAGTACGACGAGAATTTACACAGCATCGTTTGCCTCAACCACGAATTCTCTTAAGCAAGTGACAAATCACACGTTGCTCCAGATCTTAATTGCTCAAATAGAGTGCCTGACTCAGAATGGAGAGGTTCCAGGTTCGAAATCTGGATCACTCATTGATAAATGAGTGCGTGCCACTTTGTAGGATGAAACAGAAGACTACACACCATGCTTGCCACGTAGCTGCTGTCTACTTTGCCTGTAAAATGTGAGCGATGGCGTGAAAATGGAGATCAGTGCCCCCCCCCCTTTACCGTCAACGTCATTAAATCAAGGGCGTCAAAATTACAAAACAACTGTGACTGAAAATCAGCACTACTGGTACAGTCAAATGCTATATCTTGATTTAGCCTTTTTATTAAAGTTAAATATTGCAGTAAAATTAGTTAAAAAACCATCTGAAAACGAGAAAATGTCAGCAGATGTCATAAACAATCTTCTGCCAGCTTTTCGGAATTATATGCCGTAGTCGCACTGTCCCTCTACCCTTAGGTGCCCTATGGGACCATTTAAGCCGGCCTTCACTCTATGGCATTATGGCACCTTCGGTGCACGGATGCGATACAGCATATCTTGCTGGGCCAAAAATGGCAATGTGTGCGGACATCTGCCTCAAGGCCGTTTTCACTAGGCGCACATGCATGAAAA